CCACCCTCGGGGCTCCGCGTCGACGATCGGAGGAGCTGGACCCAACGGGACCTCCCCGCCAGAGCTGAGAGGGACCCCGGCGCCCCCCAGTTTGGCACGGAGCCTAGGTGGGGCGCTGGGCGCTCATTCACCTCGGGGGCCGGCGGAGACCTCCCGGAGCGTTAGACCCGACGCGTGCGCCTGAGGGTGCTGCTGGGTGGCCCGGCACGCCGGACAGAGGGTTGGTCTGGGTTTCTAGCCAGCTTGGGCAAGTCGATCGAACTACGCAGAACTCGTCTCTTCACCTGTAAATAATCGCCTGCAGACTGGCTTTCAGGCGCTTTAGCCTGTGTTTCCAACTGCACTCTGGCAGAGGTGTGGCGGTGAACCTTATAGACTTCCCAGGTAGTTGTCCTCCTTTGAACCCAGCGGCTTCATATAGGTTACCCGAGGGGGACTTTTTGCAAGGTAGACGGAGTCAGTCTGGGGTGGTGTGAACACCCCCATCACTACGCTGCTAACAAGGAGGTTGGGGGTTCAAATCCACCCAGCAGCTCCTGGAAAGAAAGGCCTGACCGTCTGCTTCCAAAAAGTCCGTGATTAAAAACCCTACGGGGTGCAGGGAGTAGTGGCTTCCCGTTGGACTGCGAGCCTCCTGATCGTCAGTTCAAAACCAGCAGAAGCTCCCCTGGGGAAAGAAGGGGCTTTCGACTCCTGTAAGCAGTCTGGGAACACACACACACACCCGGGGTGTGTGGGGGGAATAGCTATGAATCAGCATCCACTCGATGGCAGCTTTTGCTTTGTGTTGTTTTGAATGGGGTGCAGTTGCACTGTTGACACACACGGGGCACAGGGTCACTGTGAGTCAGAGGGCAACTGGTCTGGTGGGTTTTTGCTTTGGTGATTTTTAAATTTTGCAAAGTCTTGTATTAATAGCACCCTCCTCGATTAAAAATGGACGCATCTTTCCTTTATTCCCAGCTTTCTCCCCCCACCCAACAGTTTTATTGGCATATAATTGACATAGCATACAATTCAATAATGCAATCACAATAGGATATTTTGTATTGAAGAGAGGTGGCTTAATGGGGTGCTGCCAGCACAGGCTTCGAGGGCTAGCCTCAAGATTGGCTGCCAACCAAGAGAAAAGAAAAGGCTGTCGGATGTGGTCAAGATTGACAGCCTGACGCAGAAACCCTAGAGGGTCCCTAGGAGTCCCAATCGACTTGATAGCAATGGGTTGGGTCCATGTTTGTAGTGGATTTTCTAGATAAAGATGATGGTAGTAGTAGTATTATATCACAATCGCTTTCTTTCGCAACAAAGCATCTCAATTTGTCTTCTTTTCCCCATGGGGCTAGGGTCTGCACTGTTTCATGGAGAAGGGATATGAATAAGCTTTAATTTACTGAGCCCAGAACAAGCTTTAATTTACTGAGCCCAGGGCTCTGCCCTAATTCCCTTGTTCCCAAAGAGCTCCCTAAAACTGCCCGTGGAGATCCCCCCACTGTCACTGTGCACGTTCCTTCCCGAGGCCATCAGAAGGGCCATGCTAAATTGGGAAACCTGCCGCAGCGTGAGGAGGGCCCTCTCTGGATCACCCTTCTTAATGTCAGGCAGCTCCCATCACCCCATGGAATATTTGGCAAAGACCCTGCTTCAAGAAGGGGATCCTGTCTCTCCACTCTCCTTTGTAAGCACTGGTCCCTCGCTCTGTGTTCTCAGCTCTGGCCCATGCAGGGAGTCACTTTG